CCAACGCGTTCGTTTTTGACAAATAAAACTTTATTGTTGACCCCGTTCTTGGCTAAAAATCACCCTGGGCATTTAACCGAGGATGTCCCCAACATGTAACTTTTGTGAAAACAGGGGGGTGGGCGCTTGCCCAGGGAGGGGCGCGTGCCCGGGGTAATACGGTATTTCACAAGGCTAATTTTAATTAAATATTCTCGGGACTTGAATCTCACAGAGGCATCAAAGTCCTTGATGCCCAATGAGTTTTTCGTGATGCTCTATAATATTCTGTATTATTCCTATGAGCTAAGGTTATTTTATAAATTTTGGTTTTGAAAATGGGTGTCCTCTCAACTCTGAAATTCAAGCCCTTGATTCCATCCAGCATTATATATTTGATACTATTGCAGAGTTCTCTCAGATTGCATGCAGATTGTACACCTGTATGCATTAATGTTGCACTTGTGTCTATATTAAACTTCTTTGCAGGTATGCGATTCACATAATTTGAATGGATTCTTCTAACTGTATTCAATGTATTCATATAATAACCAAACTGACTTCTTGTACTTTACAACTACATTGTAGTATCATGTGCTTTTCCATTTTTTCAGGTATTTCCAGGTCAGCCTACTAGTAATACAGGTAGCCCATCAGTCTGGGAAGCACTACGTCAACTCGACGAAAGTGAGCGTTGGGTTGAACGTAGCCAGGTTGTTACCAAACAGGATCACATTGATTACACTCAATACGCTGGTGAATTTCTTGATGAAATTATTCTGAATATCCCTATTAGGTAAGTTTAAAACAATAGTGCATGAACCAGATAACACTGAGCACCTTTGGTCTAGAATGTTACTATATTTAAAAATTATAACCACCTTGGAATGCTACACTGCTATGCACTTAAATTCCTATATAACATTCTGTCATACCAAACAAGTCATGATAGTGACTCTCCAATATGTGGTTTTATTGCAGTTATCAATGTTGTAAGTATTGTGTGTTCTTTAAAGAGCCAGTCAATTTAAAAACTTTGCAGTTCAACTCTGAAATAGTTCTTCCAGGTTTATTGTCATTGTTTAGTCTATCTGGTACCTTATTTGCTCTGAGTAGCATATGCAGTTATGTAAATTACAGAGGTGTGTCTGCATGTATAGTCTACAATGTATGCAATTTTTGGTTCAAGTCGCTTCTATTTTGTTATGGGCATGAGCAAATATATAGCATGAATATGCTTGAGATATTTGTTGATTTGCCTTGGTCTTTTTGCAAGTTTGTGCTGGTCTATCAACTATTTACATGACATTTTAACCTTTTCACCACCAGTTCCCTCTTTTCATCACGAATTCACAAAATAGTCATTGGTTTAGTCTGCACTTTTTGTTCAGAAGATTGGAACAAAAACAGCACATTTTTTGAGGGAAAATTGGCTCAAATCTGTTTCTGTTGGCTCTGGTTCATTTCTAGAAATATTGAAGAATATAAGAAAAATTTGGGCAAGAAAGTCGGGTGGTAAAAAGGTTAATGAGAACAGTGTCTTCAACATATGAACAGGCTGACAATTGGATTACTGCAGGCATACATTTCTTACTCAAAAATTCATACCATCTAATACCTTACATAATAAACACCACTAAACATAACAAAAAACACCTGAAGTACATCTTTAAAGTGAAACTTATTCTCTTACAGCAATTCACAGGATAACAAGTCAGAACCTTCCCTGTCAGCACATTTATTGGAGTCTGCTTCTGAGGTAGTTGAATCTAACAAGCAGTGTTGTGTTGAAAGTGATACTGGTAAAGTGATTGGAGCTAGCCTTCCTGCAAAACAGGAGATTGGTGCTAGCCTTCCTGCAAAACAGGAGATTGGTGCTAGCCTTCCTGCAAAACAGGAGATTGGTGCTAGCCTTCCTGCAAAACAGGAGATTGGTGCTAGCCTTCCTGCAAAACAGGAGATTGGTGCTCGCCTTCCTGCAAAACAGGAGATTGGTGCTGTTGAAGATCTTCCACCTGTTGCTCCTAAGGAGGAGTCTTTGACATCACCCACAAATTCTGAGAAAGAAATATCTGTAAAGTCACCATTATTGGGAGAATTTGATCCCCTTTGCTGTGAGTCACCATCAAACGAATTGAAGGAAACCAACACAGAATCAACACCTATTGATACTGCAGAATCTAAGACAGAAGATTCAGCTCCAACTTTAAATTCAGAGTCTGAGAATATCGCTCCTGTTGATACAGTACAGCTGCAAGAGTTTTTGGAACCAGGCGTGCATGAGCTGTTAATTGAACCTAATGACAAAATAGCTTCTGACACTGTTAAGGTACTGCCAGAGAAACACCAGTCTGAACCAGAATCTTGCATAGAAGATATAGATGACCCAAGGTCAACAGAGGTCAATGATTTAGCTGATCTGTTACAACAGTTAACAGTTTCAGTTGAACAAGAAGTCCAGGAGAAAGAACAAATAGTTTCAGACGTGTCTGAGGTAACTGCTCCAGATATACTGCAAGGTATAGCAAGACCTACTGTTGAGTCGGAGAATACTTGGCTGCAAGCTGAACCTGTCAAGTCAGAGGGTCAGTCTGACGAGATCGCTTCGCCAATATTAACAACACTTGAGGAGAATACTAAGCCAGAGCATATTGAAGAACAAGAACTTACCGTTTCTGAGATTACTAGTCAGCCTAACTTGTCACAGGCTGTAACACAGGCTTCTGAAGAATCTGACGCTACAGCCAAGTCTGATCTTTTTGAGGTCAAGCCAGAGGTCACAAGTGAGCCAGAGCCTTCACAAATTGCAACACAGGCTTTAGAAGAATTGAACATTGCAGTAAAATCTGACCTATCTGAGGTCAAGCCAGAGGTCACAAGTGAGCCAGAACCATCACAAATTGCAACACAGGCTTCAGAAGAATTGGACATTGCAGCAAAGTCTTACTTATTTGAGGTCAAGCCAAAGACCACAAGTGAGCTAGAGGCATCCCAAACTGCAACACGGGTTTCTGAAGAATCTGTGGTTAAGCCAGAGGTCACAAGTGAGCTTGAGGCACCCCAAACTGCAACACAGATTTCTGAAGAATCAGAGATCATAGAAAAGTCTGATCTGTCTGAGGTCAAGCCAGAGGTTACAAGTGAGCAAGAAGCATCACAAACCACAACACAGGTTTCTGAAGAATCTGAGGTCACAGAAAAGTCTGACCTATCTGAGGTCAAGCCAGAGGTTACAAGTGAGCAAGAAGCATCACAAACCACAACACAGTTTTCTGAAGAATCGGAGGTCACAGAAAAGTCTGACCTATCTGAGGTCAAGCCAGAGGTTACAAGTGAACAAGAAGCATCACAAACCACAACACAGGTTTCTGAAGAATCTGAGGTCACAGAAAAGTCTGACCTATCTGAGGTCAAGCCAGAGGTTACAAGTGAGCAAGAAGCATCACAAACCACAACACGGGTTTCTAAAGAATCTGAGGTCACAGAAAAGTCCGACCTATCTGAGGTCAAGCCAGAGGTTACAAGTGAGCAAGAAGCATCGCAAACCACAACACAGGTTTCTGAAGAATCGGAGGTCACAGAAAAGTCCGACCTATCTGAGGTCAAGCCAGAGGTTACAAGTGAACAAGAAGCATCACAAACCACAACACAGGTTTCTGAAGAATCTGAGGTCACAGAAAAGTCTGACCTATCTGAGGTCAAGCCAGAGGTTACAAGTGAGCAAGAAACATCACAAACTGCAACACAGGTTTCTGAAGAATCTGAGGTCACAGAAAAGTCTGACCTGTCTGAGGTCAAGCCTGAGGTCACAAGTCAACCAGACAACTCTCAAGTTTTAGAAGTTGCTCAACCGAGGCCACAAGAAACATTTGATTGTGTTGAAACAAGCCCAGGCTCGATTGGAGAAGACAAGAAAGTTGGTACTAAACCAACAAACAAATTGAAGAAAAAGTCATCACCTGCCAAAGCAAAATCTGAAAAGACTCCCAAAAAAAGAAAACCATTACCAGAAAAGCCTTGGAAAAAAGGGAAAGGAAAACCCAAACAGACTGGTGGTGATTTTGGTTTTGAGATCTTTGCACCAAGTGAGAAGACATCTCAACCAAGTGAATCCGACCAAGCCATTAAAGTCTCTGCTTCTCAAAAAGTTGATAGTTCTGAAAGCATAAAACCAGTAGGGAGTATTCAAGAACCAGTATTGAATTATTTTGAGGAATTACTGGATTCAAAAGAAACTAAATTGAAAGGTAACATTGGTGTTAACCAGCAGGCACCAAAACCAGTACCATTGGACGATATCCCAATCTCTGTACCGCAGCCTAAAGACATTTACAATATGGATCCTAATGAAATTGATAATCCATTTGTGAGTTCAAGGAAGATGCAAAATTCTCCTCTGCCCAATAATGGTGGCTATGATTTTGAAAACACAACGGAACTGATGAGAGAAGATGATCCTAAGTGAGTATAGAAATAAATTTTACATATACACATTCATAATGCCATAGAAAACGTGGGATATATGGCATTTAATTAGCAGCCATTTTTAGTACTGAAAATGTACCTATTCTCGGGGGCGGTTTTGCATATACAAAATGCATATTCAACTGAGGTTCATAACTGAAAAAAACACACTATCATATCATAGCAAATAACCTAAATTCAGCTCAGGAATGAATTGTTTAAAATGTGTTGTGCATAAAATGGCAATTAGCTCCTTAATTGGTAAAGTTGCATTCTTGATTATACTTCTGGGATTTACTCAAGTTGTTCAACATTGCTGAAACTAATTTTGCGTTTGCTTTCTTTTAGACCTATCCCACCTGCAACAAACAACAATACTAGTTCCAAAGTCCATTTCAGTGAGGAGGATTCTGCCCCACAAGAAGAATTCAAACCAGCTGCTGAAGGTAGTTACTGCTGTTCTTAAAAAAATAGATGCCTTGCTCTGTGTTCCCCTGCCTGCTATACATGTTTGTTATTTTGCATCTGTTGTAGCACTGAAACAATACCTCAGCATGTTAATGGCGCCCATTCTGCACCAAAATACTGTGGTTGCTGTATGAAACTTGCGTAGAATATGATGCTAAATTGTTATTAGTTATTAATATTTCAATAGTGTAGGTTTTGGTAAATGAACTAAATTCTAATTGTTATTTAGATGAAAGTTGTTATCCGTTACAGGTTGTATGTTTTTACCATACAAGACAGAATATTATAAATGGATAGGTTTGTTTGCCACTAACATTAAATTTAGAAGTTAACGCTAATTTATTACTTAAAATTGCATCTTGATTCAAATCTGTTTCTACCCGAAACCTGTTGTGGGCTACACTGCAAATATATATCTTGTAGATCTATTTTTCTGTATTCTGTGCATGCCATCTCCTGACTGGAACCAATGAATTTCCTGATAACAATTTGGTGTATGATGCGATTTCTTAGCTCAATGGCAGAGAACATCTTCGATTTAGTAATTTCCCCCCTTTTTATCAGTGACTGGAGATATTCCTGGCGTTTTGGATAGAGGTCTTCAACTGTAATCTTTCTTTTTCAATTGTTATTTAGTCTTTAAATTATAAAGGATATATAATTTTTGTGGATTGATCGAGTATTGTAAAAATTTTAGCCAATTTGCATGTAATGCAGTATTTTTACCAAAAAAAAATATTCATGTTCTCTTGCAATGAGCATTTTTTTTTCAAGAAAGTCACTTTGTCACTGCTACTTAATTTATCCCCATTCCCTCACAACAGGTACAGGGTTATATATATAGGGTATGCTTATTCATTTGAACCATGGTGGTGGTATTCTATGCATTTCTATGTTATTATCTCTTAAATTCAGCTGTTTCCATGACCAACCCTCCAGATTTATTCTTAGACAAAGATCCTGTTTTCCAAGATTTCCAATTTGTCACAAACAACCCAGATTTTCTAGAATCAGAACCCTCCTTGGGGCTGGATGAAGACTTTAGTGGTGAAGGTAGATAATATCTAAATATATATTTAGACTAAATATCTAACATTATAATTATAATAAATTTAATTCATAGTTTTAAGTAACTTGAGTTTTGTGGGACCAAACTGTACAGTGAAACAAGTATTTTTCTAAAAGCCAATTTCTCTTAAAGCATGCGACAAGATTACAATCTTTTGTTTTTTATTTTAATCGATCTACTTCTTGTGTTTCAAGTGATTTATATTTGTACATTAAATATTTGCTGTAAGTAGTATATCTTTGAACAAAATAGAGCCATGACAGTTGTATAACTACATACATATTGACGAACCACTGTTGATTTTAAGTCTACTTAATTTTCCACCTCAAGAAATTTTTTTATTTGAGTGATATTTTTTGATCAAATAGTTATCTACATGTACATTGCTTGCTTTTATAGGTATTAGCAGATTTCCAATTGGCATATAACAATTACTTAATCCGGACAACTTTCCTGACAAAAATTAAAAGGCACTTGCCCTGTAATCTCTGGGACTTGTTCATTAATGGGAATCAAGCCATTTGTACATTCATTAGTGTTGGTATATTGTAATAGGCTATTGTAATTGTCCTTTCAAATCATCATAACTTTCCCAATCACAGATTTCTGAAGGGTGAGATACTTTGGTTGAAATAATTCTAAATGCATGGGGTTATATTTTTACATAAAGGTGTATTTTTAAACCTCAAATGCTGTGGTTTGGTTGAATTTAGATGGTAAACATATCATTTTACTTCATAATGTGTAGTTGACCAGTCATAGTCACCTCTCCAATAATACAAAAATTCAGCACTAAGTATTAAATCATAATTTAAGGTTTCTAACATAAACTGTACGATTGTGTCGATCCCCGAGAATCATGCATCTTTGGCAATGTGCAAAGCCCAATGAGTCAGTTCCCTAATATGCTGCCCTCTATTGGTTAATTTGAGATATCTTTGTTATACTTTTAACAACGTCGTAACATCGTGATGCACTCTTAACATTTTTTACCACTGCACTGAATTGGAAAAATGTGAAACTGTAAGTACATGTATAACAGAAGTTGTTGTCGCTAATATCAGGTACATGTAGTGTACAATTACAATTCCTTGCATATATAGTACAGCACAGGAAAATTACCTTGTTAAGTAGTGTGCAGGAAATATAATATACGTCATGTAAATGTGTCATCAATCTAAACCTGTTAATTTAATTATTAAAACCTGTATTATAGTTGTATTTAGCTCAAGGTAGAAGAATTATTTTAGTTGAATGCTACATTGTTACAGATCAGTAGTCTTCTTAATGAATTATTTTAGTTAAATGTGTGACTATATGATGAGAAAATATTAGATCTAGCCTTGTTTTTCGAGACTTGAATCTATAAAAATGACTGGCTGACTGCCAGATGGGGATTTTCTAGACTCCCAGTAGAGTTGATGACCCCGAGGTGGTGGTACACGAGAATAATTTAATGTGTAGTTATAATTTGGAAACATTGACAAGTGAATTAATTCATATAAATGTACTTTTCGTTGTGTGACGTCAATTTACCGGTATGTTCATGTCAGGATACTGATTCGTCACAATGGAATGCCCCCAAATCTGTGAATATACACACGACTGCTATTGTTTGGAACACCCCATTTTGTAGATAATACTAGGCTTTACAAAACTGTTTAGGCTGAATTCATTTGCTCGTCTAAAGTCAGCTAAACAAAAGTAGTGGTCTAAAGTTGAAGGTAACGTATAACGCCTTTCACCCAAAGTCGTCATACCATGCTGCATGTGTGCTTCCATCCAGAAATCCTCCTCATTGTTTCTTTTATTGCCTTCTCTATTGTTACAATTAGATGAAAAATCAGCTTTTTTTGTTGTCTCTTCCGTGTTTTTAATTGTCCACTCCCATTGTTACTGTTTTTTGTTGACATGCTTTGTATATTTGCATGGATAATTCCATTGTATCTGCTGGCTTATGCATGTTCCGTCTTGCAAGCGTACGTATTGCATGTTGTGTCACTGTTGGAATGTTAGTAAAGTATTTGAGTCGTGGGAATAATCTATATTGCTTAAAAACTGAATGAGGTACTGTATAAAGCTGAACATACTCTTATAGGACAAGTGGGGCTTCAGTTTCACATCCCATTATTGTTTGTTTTTATTAATGAATAGAAGAATACGTTTTCAAATCATAATGTTACTATATTGTGCATGTACACACTGGTATTGTTGAAATCTATATGACCTCTTTATTGAATTACACGTGTTCACCTTGGTATCACTTTCCTATCTGTGTTGCAGGACGACAGTATGTGTATATTCACTCTTTATTCCAGTTTATTGCTCTGTAAATTGTTGTAGTTTATTTGGGGGGGGGGGCATTGACATTGTTACTGCTTTCTCATTTCTTCATTATTTTATGCAAGTTGATTCATGAATATTTTAAGTCTTTGCACCATCCCATGCTAATATATATCATTTTTCATCTTTCTATACATTCATCGTAATGCACATCAATGATTATTAGTGTCATAACTGGCATTATCCTGACATTACCCTCAATCTTATAATGTCCAAAATATGATCACTAACAAAAACCCATTACTATCCATTTCTCATTTCCATCCTTGCTCTCACTGTATGTGTGATAATAGCTGCTGCCACTGGCCTTGATAGAGACCTCAGTGAACTCAGTTTTGAGGAAATGGAGGCCAGGTTGGATGAAGAAGGTAGGCCTGTGATAACCTTTTTGCATGTCTTCTAACTTATCTGCCTACCTCACATATTTCTGTCATTTGCTCTTTTTAGGTTATAAGCAAACTTGCTGTGGTTCTGGTCTCTTGTTTGCCTTGTCATAATTACCTGTACACGCTGCTTCCAATGTGATCATGCGATAGAAAGTACTTGTTTCACTGAGCCTAGAAAAAAGTGGGTTTAGAGCTTGGTTTAACTTTAGCGGAGGCCAATTGCTTCAATACTAAACATGTATAGACCACCTTTTAATAAAGTTGCAAGAAGGATTATTTACTTCTTGAAAGCCATAATAGATCATTGAGGCCAGACACGCACAAAAATCATGTTCATCAGATTTTTCTTTTGGTAAAAGTTGCCCAGAATGTTGAGATTTTTTTTTATTTTCCAAAAGGTTTATAAAGCACAGAAACGTCAAAGAAAATATTGTGGCTATGAATGCAAATCAAAAACAAAATTGCAAAATGCAATCAGGCTAGTGTGAGCTGGTCCGATGAACAAGGTTTTATTTGAAAAGTCATAAATGATCTTTGACTGGTTTAATTGCAAACTCGTTGGTTCAAATCATTTTGACCCAACATTATTATTAACTGGGTGTAATAGCGTAGGCAGCTTCATGGTGTAGAAATCTCTGTGGAATATTCTTGATGTCATTGCTGCATCTAATACAAACGTGATGCATGTCAGCAGTTATCAGCTAAAAAACGAATAATTATTAACAATATTTTTTAACATGCCGTCAATATTATTCCTTCAATATTACCCGGTATAAATAGTCCTTCATCTATGACGTGAAAATCGTTCCTAATAAATATTGTTGCAACATCCTGACCCTATACAGCGAATACAAACAAACCGTAGACTACAGTCTATGATCTAATTTATCTTTAAATATTTTGTGCCAAAAACTGACAATTCAGTTACATGTGTTACAGAAGTTTGTAAGGTCCAAATGCTTGTATGATCTTAGTTGAAGTTCAAGTATTATTCACATATAGCCCCAGCCTGTCCATTTATAGACACCATCCAATGTTTTGTATTTCCCTGCATTTTTCCAGTTCTTTCTTTAAAATTATATTAAAATACTGAACTTGAGATAAGCCATTGCAACCACTATCAAGAAATAAAAAACACAATCGAGGAATATCTGGCTCAGCACTACCCATTTCAAAACAAAGTTGCTTTCACAAATATTACTGTTCTATATAATAACGTTCATTTTTTTTGTTTATACGTTTTTGTATATAATTATTTCTTACTACATGTACATTTTGACTGGACCCAATTCTTTTTTTTGTTACATTCTACCCTACACCTCTCCCTCTTTATGTATGTCCTTATTTCCTACGTTCTTCAAACACAACACATTCAGCACTTGCCCAAGAGTGTCTTGCCTCAGTTATGGAGCCAACAGGTTCTGAAGGAGAGGAAGAATTCTTCCTAGCCCCGGAAGGTACAGTTGTCTGTTTTGTATATTCAGTAGTCCCTGGCTGAGTCGCAGCTTTCTTTAAAGTAGCATGACGTGCAGTGAGGGACTGCTGAATTTATAGGTGCAGTCATAGTCATACATTGTATTCATATGAGGTCTTGCTTTTAATGGTTGCAGTGCAGTAAGGTTGCTCTGCTGTCTTTCTTCCTCTTTTCTTCATTCTTGGCAAGGAAATGCTCGCACCTAATACACAATATAACTCCAAGCGTTTATTTGCCTCGCCTTTACACATGCTCTAACTGCCACACAAATTATATGTATTTTGAATTAGTATATATCTTATGTTATGAAAAGTTGGAAATGCAACACTGGCTGGCTGTAATGCTGGTTTTGCCAGCAATTTAATTGTAAACTGAAACTGTTAATAATAGTTCAAGCTAATATTTCAAATGCATGTTGTTCATACATGTTGCCCTTTAATAAAACATGTATTCCTTTCCATGATCTCTCTCACTAACATGTACTTTATTTACTGTACAACATTGATTGTATTGTAAGCAACTTCTCGTGTAATTATTGCCATCTCAAACCATCTAGTTATCTTTAATCAATTTATTTTTGCATTCTGTAGAAGAAATTCTGAATGTAGACATTTTACATATAAGGCTCACTGGAGTTGATGACATGTAATATCCAGTACTACACAAAGTTATTAGTAAAAATTAAAAAACACTGAACCTATTTTACTGTGCAAACCATTGAAGTGTATGTGTAATTGGGAGTCTGGAATTGAGTCCATGTGGTAAAATTAATGTTTGATTGTATTTTTGCAACTCACGGAAGTAAACACTCCTCTGCAAAATTTTGAATAATTAATTTCTTATAAGAGATGTGTAATCACACACATTCACTTCATTGGCTTGCATAATAATCCATGTTTTTATTTCATGATTTTGGCTGTTTTGGGATGAATAACGCATTATTTTTATCAATAAGTCTGTATCAAGAAAATAGATTCATTTGTTTACAGTCCTATATAATTCCTGTCATATATAAAAAAAAAGAAAAGGAACTTTTGAGGATGCAAAACAAGCAAGTTGCTTTATTGTACATGTGTATTATTCCGTAATGTGGGCAAGTAAGAGTTATTGATTTTATCGGTACAGGTTTAAACAAATACTTCACATCTGGGACAACTCTTTTGGTTTCTCTAGTTGTTTTCTGCATTTTCTGGTATTTTCTGGGAATTGTTTCGGTATTTATTTACAATTCTGCATTTTGGAGAAGGGTTTCATGAATTTTGCACGGATACAATCATCAATGTATTGACTAACTTTGCATGGCAACAGCTGTGCAAATTAAGAACAGAACAGAACTTGTCTTGTGATTGGTTTATATTGGCTGCATATCATGCTTTTTATTGTAATTAGCCAATGGGTATAGCTGTTGTAAAGCACAGCTGGTATGTCAATTTAAATTGGTTCCTTTTTTATTTGACAGCTTTTCAGCCTGCTGATCCCAGTGCATTTGATATTGATTTTCTTGAAAGGGCTGGAAGTTCATCTGCAGTAAGTAATTTATTCTTGGAATGTACAGTTTCCATGTTGTATCGTCTCTTTCAAGTGTAAGCCAACAGAGAGCGACCAACTTCATACATCAGTAATTTTCTTCCTGTTGAAACTGCAACAAACTTGTCCTTACTGGAGAAGTATCCATTGGTTACACAGCCAGATTATTAATCTTTTAAATCACAAAGTCAGTGCAGTCTTTTTCTCCCAACAACTTTTGTATGTCTATGGAGGCATTCAGCAGGCTATGTATTAAATGCTGGAACAGATGGAGGGACAGTGGTCCAATACAAACATTCATTCTGTGGGTTGAAATCACTACAACATGATGGTCATAGAAATATGACTTGTAACTACACCCTGATTAGTAGTTTCACTAGGATTGTTAACGTATGAACAAAATTCTTAGCATTTAAGCTAGATTTTGCAGTTGCATGTGCTGAAATTATAAAAAAAAACTAAATTTATTAACAAAAACACATTTATTTTGGATAAATGGACCAAAAAATGTTCACCTTAGTTACTGTTACAGTGAACTATATAATAGTTTACATCCATGGAAGTTTCTTTAAACATGACTATTCTCTTTTTCTCACAGTTCAAAGAGTCAGCACTAGCAAGACAGTCACTGTATGTAAAATTTGATCCCCTCGTGAAAGGTGCTAGTCCTCCAGTTCTAGCAAAAGGTGAGATATATGGTTGAATAATATTGAATAATGTTCGAAAGAAATACTTCAATAAAAGTTTTTTTTCAAACTACAAGATTGCATGTTAATCTTGAAAGGTGTGGACCAAAAGTTTGTTGCACAATACAAAAGATTTTATTATAAACTTGAGTTTTGTTTTTTATTACCGATCTTTCAGAAGGGAACATGGCGTTAAGTTACATTTCATTTGACCATCATCAAATTAAAATACCAAAAAAAACGTCTGTCGAATTCCATGTGATGTTTTGATGCACGTTTTGATGCCCCTGAAATGCTTGGACCTTTGTTCATTTCTGTTTTTATGTGTTTGATTATGCGTTTGCTTGGGATATGTATCATGGGAGAAAGGCAGAACACCACATATTAATATTGAGACAGATGCACTGTATTCAAGAACATGTATATTCTATGTTGCCATACATTTTTAAAGTGTCATCGCAAGGTAGTTGCTTTTACTATGGTTCTGAGAATTATTCGAAAAGTCAGTTAGGGAGATGGCTTGCTTGTTGACTTGGTTTGTTTTTTGTCCAATCTAGACTGTCAACAGTCCTCAGGCCTAATTTGTTAGTATACTGAATCGACAAACTGTGGAGGCGCTTGCAAGAAATGCCCAGGCATTTCAGTGGAGGACTATTAACGCTTGTAAACACCCTCGCGTGACATTACACCGGTACTTAACATTTTCTGTTGCCAGCCGTCTTTCTAACAGACTCCAAAAAATTCTCAGAACCGCTGAAAAGATATTGTTTGCCAGTCATGTGTTGAACATCAGTAGTTACTAATGTTTGATATTGTATTTAATCAGCTGCTCCTGAAACTAAACAGCCTCTTACAACCTTGGGTGAAGACTCTATGGAGGGTGAAGATCTTCTGCAGATGTCAACACCACCATCAAATAAATCAGCACAGAATCATATTATTAACTCAGTTAGAAAGACTGAGTCAAGTTCAGACGATGGTGTGGATAGATTATTACAATTCAGTCCGTCAGGAAAACAGGTTAGTTTATAATACTGGGAATTTATTTTCACCACTGCACCATTAATATTGCTAAAAAATATCTAAAAACTGATTTGTCACAGTGTTAAATTGCATTCTGTATCATTTCTAATCAACGATTTAGTGTTGGCTAAATGTTTAAATTTCAACTAATTCCAACACATCTGAATTGTTGGAACATGGATGAAATCTTATTTCCCCAAATCATCCATGAAATATGTCATGCAATGGACTCAAATTCCCAATACAACTGCAAGAGTGATCTTGGATTACAAAATTGTAATGTGGTGTTTACATACTAGCAACATGTTGATGTTGACCTAGTACCAAAATTATCCATGTAAAAGCAATGGACGTTTGTGAACATTTGGTAAAAGTGACATGCAAATCAACAATCTATAGTAGGTTGCTATAATTATTTCTAATTCTGTGTAGAAATGTATGCAAATTATTACTATAAATAGACTGAATATTTATAATGGTAGTAGGTATTATATTTAAATATTACTAGATGTGCATCAATACAAGCTGGTCAGTAAGTGGTTAGTAGTATTGGTGATATGATATATTGATCAAATCATAACTATATTCATATCATCTGCTTTCTGCATTTCTTATTCAAAATATCAGTGTTCTGCAGTTTGTGTCAACCAATGTACTACCATTTGCATTTGGCAAAATGTATGACGATATTTGGTTAGCATATAGTTGAATCTATAGCAGGTTTATATTAATGTTTTTTTCGACCTCGTGTGGTGTTCTTTCTATCTTCTTCACCTATCTTCAATGTTTCATAAATATCAGCGAGTACCGTAGTATTAACTGAAAATAAAACACAAATTCAAATCTAATAACTATCAAAAGGCATCATTTAATGGTCTAAAATATGTCAAACACGAAGCATATTGGTTCTGGTCCAAAATAAAACGAGGTTTAATCACTCCTATTCTTTGTACATTCAAGGTGACAGAAGCCGACCCTTCTCCTCCCCCTCCTCTGCCTAACCTTGAAGAGAGTGGTGAAGAAATGGTTCAGGTAATGCACCAGCTCATTTATTATTGATTTGAACATTGACAACCCAGCCATCCTAACAAATCAAGCATGTATGTACGTAATGCTCATTTGTTTTCTCTTTCAGCCTTTACTGTATACGCAGTTGGATCTTAAAAGAGCCCAGGATGAATTCATGCGAGAGGTAATTGTTAATTGTCCGGTTGTTTGACATAATTCTTTGTTTTGAAATTACAGAGATCTAAAGAGGATTTTCTGAAAATTACAAAAAATAGAATGACTTAAAGTATACATGAAGGCAGTACAGTGATTATATCGACCGACATGCAGCCCAAGTTGCATACTTTGTGGTATTCTTATGATATCCTTATTAATATCTTGTTCCTGCTTGCAACAGTCGGTAATGACAACAAAAAGCGTTTTGCATTCAGGAACAGAGTTCTATTTCTGTCGCCTCAGTGTTCAATGTAAACAAAGAAAGTGTTTAAATGAGATGTGAACATGATTTCCAAATAAGAAGTTTGATCACGTTTGTACAGCATTTTACAGAATGATGAACTCTCTTGTTTTCGGCCTGATGTATAATAATAAAAGCTTGTGCAATTTAAACTTCTCTTATTAGGTGCAAAATGTGAACAAGGAAAAGCAAAGTCTAGAATGCAAATTGGAAGAGGTCAAACAAGAAAACAGAGAAATGAGGTACGGTTGTAATTTTGTATGTCATTTGTGTGTGCTTGTTAAATGTTTTGATTTCAGTGGTCCATCATGTAAACTGTATCAGTGCTGAAATCATGAAAAGAAGAGCCTAAAATAAATATCCTACTCTCAGCTTTAAAATTAAGACACAGCAGCATCTTGGTGAACCAGTTTGTTTTTGAATATTCAGTAATGGTCTTACCAAGTTGTAGCGTTATATTAGTAAACACACCCTGTAATTCAACAATGGAAAAGTTGGTTAGAATGAATAGACATTTCAGTGCTAAATCAAATTGAGAAACTATATTTCTGCATTTAATAAATTATCTAATATATGTTCTCTATTTTCTTGTATTTTTACTATTTTATATAATTGTTTTTCCCAATTCTTTACAATTAGGACAATTGTGGATGAGTTTGAAAAGACAATTCAGCAAATGATAGGTATGTGGTAACAATTATGATAGTCACAGAATGGTATGTGACATGCAGAATCCAAATTTGTTAATCTGTAATCACATGGAATTACCGTAAAATCTGTATTAGAAGCCGCATTCCTAATAGGAGTCACATCCATTCTTTTTAAATAATTAAGGACCAAAAATTCACCATTTTTCATTTGTGTAGATGCTCTAATAGAAGCCGCATCCCCTTTGTTGCATTGTACCATTTTAATAGAAGCCGCTGCTTCTAATACCGATTTTACAGTACACACTGATACTTGATGATAGCCTTGAACCCACAATGTTGTCACATTTCGTCTCAAAGCTGCCCACTCAAATACCACCATGGATCCTGCTATAAAAAAATTAAGGTGGATACAACCAACACAAACTACCACTACCAGTATTGAAGATTAACTCAAATTTGTCGGTAAAAAAAAATGACAATTACACTAATTTGGTTAAATTCTTTTGTACAGGGAATCAAAGTTAGGATTCACTGTTAGATGCAAGCGTATTTAGTATTATATTTGTCCACCTCATTTTGCTACATTATGATCTATGGCAGTGTTTGAGTGGGCAGCTGATTACTGAATGTAATTATCCTCTGCTATAACAACGCCTCAGACCCAAGGGCTATGCTGCAGACCCATCAAGGAATTGGACATAAGGTTATGCCTTTCCTGAGGAGAAATTATCAAATTTTGTTTCCAGCAAGTGCTCATAAAACCATACACATCATAGGTACATCGCCAGTCAATAGGTTTACATAGTGTATTACATACGTTCTTTCAACCCTTTATTTCAGAGGATAGTACAAAAGGTAAAAATGTAACCAAAGACAATTTAGATCAGACGAGGAAGGAACGAGATCAAGCTTTAGATGATTTATCCTCAGTTGAGTCAGCATTTAGTGATCTTCACAGGAGATATGAAAAGCTGAAAACGGCAGTGGAGGGGTACAAGAAGGTAGGAACAATTAAATGAATTTATACATCAGACTAGAACTCGTCATTGAATGCTTTGCACCCTTCAAAGTATATATTGCTTGGAAAGTCATAGGCACTGAAATGGTTTTGAAGGATTAATCTGTCTGTTTGATTGGTTGGACACCCACTCGTTGACTTGAGACGTACCATATATTCTGTGTTCTTGCTGTGTAGTAGTTCACGCACTTACATGGGAAGTAAACCAAACTTGTGATTGTAGCTTATTGGTTCTTTCCTAATTACCAGAACGAAGAAATTCTTAAGAATTGTGTAGCTGACGGACACGCTCGACTAAAGAAAAGTGAACAGAAATATCACACACTTAAAACCCATGCTGAAGAAAAGATTGAAAGGTGAGTTTATATTACACCATACATGTATGACCATAAATTATAATATAAAGGATGTCTTGAGCTTAAAGGGGAACCGATACTATAAATAGGGGCAAGATGGCCACCGCAATTAGTATGCTAATTCGAACCAAGCCGCTCACATCGTGGTGGGAGCTCCGAGAAATGTGCCATTTATGATGTTTAGAGATCAAGTAAAAATCCTGAGTTTAAAATGGCGGTTAATATATGCAAAATGCCTGTCTATCACAGTTTAAGTAAGCGAGCATAAGATTTAATTTACTTAGTGGGCAGAGGCAGAGTTAATTACCCATGAGCACGTGGTGCAATCCATCGGATTGAGCAGTTCCCCTTTAAGTCCCAAGACTTCAAATATCTTGGATAAAAATGTGTGCGACCTTTGGGGACACATCTCTTATAACTGCCAGATAACATTCCAGTTGTACCAAAATTGTTCACATATGCTGTTTATTAGCTCCGCTGTCGACTTTGTCGAGCGAAGCTTATCATATGAGTGATTGTTCGTCGTCGT